TTCCATTAGCCAGCAGAATGTCATAGCTTTCCCCAAACTTTCCTCTCCATTCCTAAGAGTGAAGAAGGCAGATGATATCTTAGTATTATTATAAAAACTAGCTCATGGACTTCCGAGAGAGACTTCCCAGGCATCCCCGGACTATAGTGTGAGACCCCACTGGTTAAAATGTGGACTCTGGAGTCTGACTATGTGGACTTGATCTTGGCTCCACTACTTTAAAATCTTGTAGCTTAGGGAAGTTACTTTACAGAGCTACACCACTGCATCATATTTGAAAGTTCAGACCCTGAAGCCCAACTATCTGGGTTTGTACCCTAGCTCTGCCACTCATTAACTGCAGCTATGGGCAGGTTTCAATTTTCATCTGTAAAAAGGGGGATCATAAAATTACAGCCAGAGTGGTAGTGTAAAGGTTAAACGAGGCAATGCATAGAAAGTGCTTGGAGTAGTGTCTGAGTGGCCTGCATACTTGGTCAGTGTTAGCTTTGGTTATTGTTGTGAGGTAATGCATAGACAGTGCTTAGCATAGATCTTGGCCCAGAGGAATGAATAAATGTCATGCTCCCTAAGTTCTCCTGCACCCCCCAACATGGCAGAGGATAGTTGTCCTGGGCTAGAGGAAAGGTGTTAGGAGGAAGCAGCAGAGGGGCCTTTCAGATGCTCCCTCCACAGCTGGAAGAACTGGAGAGTCAAAATCTCTCTGAGGTTTTTGTGTGCTGAGAAGCAGGAGAAGAGCAATTCCTAGCCAGTGAGCTTTGTGGGGAGGGGGCCAGGGCAGCTTTACTAACTAACCATTGTTTCTTCACCGCTCAGCACAGGGCTGGGCAGGCACCCAGGAGTGTTTGTTAATCATTGAGTGGTGGACTGAGTGCAGGAGGTCCACTTGGCCATTTATTGGGGAAGGGAGTGAATATTAACTACATTTGAGATTGAGGTAAGAAGTTGGAGACATCAAATTAACAAGATCAATTAATAGTTAATAACTAAGTAACTTATGGAATTAGGTATGTTAACTAAATTAACTTAAATTTAATGTGTTAGTTACATTTAATACGTACCATTCCAGATCAGTTCATTGAAATAAAGAGCTCTTGTGTTTCCTATTGCATAATAGAGAAGTCTGGAAGTCCTTGTAACTCCCTCCATACTTATCACAGTGATCAGTGTTAAAAGCCTTAAAATGCAAATGGGCCTTATTCTGGGATAGCAAGGATGGGGTCCGGGGAGGAGCAGCAGCCAGGGTTCCTTCCTAGAGCTTGCAGCCTGGTCTGTGGTTGGTACCTTCTGTGTAGATCAGCAAGTGGTGATACATTTCTCCTAAGGTGTTATTACTCCTGCCTTCCTCACCTTCTCTGCTCTGCACACATTGGACTTTTGCCTGTCTCTTCTCTGAGCACACCAAGCTTTTTCCTAACTCAGCAGTGGTCCTTGCTGTTCACTTTCCTGGCATATTTCACCCCATATCGCTGCGTGATTCTTCCTAGGTGTAGAGAGGTCTTCCCTGAGCACTCTGTCTAAAGCAGCACCCTACCCTCTCCATTACTGTCTTTCTGTGCTTGGTTTTCCTTTAGAGCATCAATATCTACCAGGCATCGTATATCTGATTTTATTTGCCTTCCTTACTAGAGGGAAACATTGTTAAGGCAAATGTGATGCCTGAAACATTGCCTGGCCATAGGAGGGACTCAGAAATATTCTACTAAATTAATTGATTAGATATTGCAATTTCTTGTAGACAGTATCGATCTGGGACCAAGTTGGATGACCCTGTTTACAATATATTTCATCTGATACTATCAAGATATATACAAAAGAGAGATTCCAGTTTTATTGAGCGTGTGAGGGATTTTTAAAGCGTTTTTTTGTTCCAAAGGTTTAATTTATAAATTGGTTGCTTGAAATTGAGAACATATCATATATTCCAAAAAAGGGTTCTTGTATCAACCCAGAAAAATACCTACCTCAGATGCAAGAAATTCAGGCACACATGGAGAAAATACTTCCTGATAGATGACCCTGCTATTTTACTTCTATCCCTCCTTTTTCTAAAAAAGATTTCAGTTAGCTTACAAGAATCATTTAGTCATTCAAGTATCTAAGTGACAAACATTTTATGTCTCCTGCTAAGCATTGGGGTGCAGCATTCAGTAACGTATACACCATATGTCTTCATTGCACTCTGATGGGGAGGTACGTTAAACTTGAAATTATACTAATAATTGTTTAAAATTGTGATTAGACCTATGCAGGAAAATTAAGGAAGGGGAGAGGATGGTTCTCCTTGGACAGGCCAACCCACCTTCTGCTTCTCGAATCACTGATTTTCTAAAAATGTTCCATGCAGTGGAGATTCCGACAGCCTGGGAGGCTAGAGGAAGGCCTCGAAGCTGCCAGGGCTGGATGGCTGCGTAGAGATGGAAGTTGAGTTTCGTTCTAGTGTAAAGGCTCTAAAATAAACAGAGAAATAGCTTTTCCCAACTAGGTAAATGAGCCCAAATTATAAATAATAGGTTGGCTGAAAGCAGGTAAATAAAAGGGTAGGAGTTTTCCTTATTTCTTTCCCCTCTGGCAGCTCTGCTGAGGTCCTTTATATTCACCGTGTTTCACAAATTTTAATATTCCTGGTCTCCAACTTACACTGATGTTACACATTTCCTGTGGGAATGACCATTCTGTCTTAGTACCGTCATCTGCTGACCTTTCCGTGGACGTTTGGAGGTTTTAGGGTAGATGTTCTTAGGTTATATTCCAGCAGAATCTTTTTTTTTTCTTTCAGTTTCATTAAGATGTAATTGACAAATCTGTAAGATATTTAAATTATACATTGTAGTGAATTGATATACATACATGTTTTGAAAGCATTCCCATCTTCCAATTAGTTAAGATATCCATCACCTCTCATATCATATTTATCCTTTTGTGTGTGTTTGTGAACATTTAAGTTCTATTCTCTTTGCAAATTTCATTCAGTAACAGTGTTATCAACTATAGTCATCATGTTTTACATTAGAGGCGCAAACCTAATCTAGCAGAATCTTAACTGGAAACCCCACAGTGGTTATGAGCTTGGGCTCTGGGGTCAGACAGACAAGGTTCAAATTATGGCCCTGAGCAACTTAGACAGTTTCCCTAGGCCTCTTCGTGTATGTTTGTGTGTGTTGCCTGGAGGAGGCACTGACAGTCCCTGCCTCCTGTTCTGTTTGGAGTAAACTCTATCATGCATGTAAGATGGTTAGCACAGTGCCCTACAAGGAGTCCCCGGGGAGCTTCTGAGGGCATATGAAGTTGTTGTTAATAATACTGTGATAGTGCCTGGAAGTATCAGTTTAGCTTAGCTGACTGTCTTTGCAAAGCTCCTGGGGAGGTTAAATGATGTCAAATTCTTTAAAATCTTTGCTTCGGAGTCCATCCGAAAAAGGGGAAAAACTTTCTCTTACTGGAAGTGATAGGACTCATAACTCGGGCTAGTACTTGTTAATATTGCTTAATTTATCAGTGTTAAAAAAAAACAAAACTATTATATAGCCTAGGGTACCAACTACCAATTTTATACCTTTCTCCGCTTTGAAAAAAATGTATTCACGTTTCCATAATTCTAGTTTATAGATTACAATTTTAAAAACGGGCACTATATTTAGAAGTGAGAAATTTTTACACTTTAGCTACTTAAAAATACCACAGGGTCATTTTCTGGAGCACATTTGGCATTCCCATATTTTGGAAGGCACTTAACTTGTGTGTGATGATGTTGGGGCCAAAGCTTCTGAGGCGTATGCACTGCTGACTGCTCCATCCCAGGCAGCAACCCAGGTCTTCACGGTCTGCTTTTGTGCATTCAGCTCAAAGCAGGCCCGAGAGACCTTCATTATGACTTGCTCATTGCTGTGGGATTTCTTTCTCTTGAAGCAGCCTATTGGTAGTTTTTGAAACAATTGAAATTCTGGGAGTACTCAAATTTGGATGATATTCTTTTCTTGGCACAAAACTTTCTCAAAAACTACAAGAGCTTGATTATTGTGGGAAAATTAATCTTTTTAGCTTAGAGTTTGCTTTTTGCCAACGTTGGTTTCTTTGAAAGTTCTTGGGGGAATGTTTCCCTTTGCAGTGAAATAAAGAACACTCGGACTACAAAACCCAGCATTCTTAGGTGTCATGATACACACATGAGTTCTTTAGGGTATATGTGGTACCAGTTAACAGATGCTTGGTTTCCCTTTGACTTGAAAGTTATTTGTAAAATAACAGTCATGTTTTACCAGTTGACTTAAATCTCCCCTTTTCATCCCCTTCTATACATATTTAATAGCAATCTTATTTCTTAAGATTACAGTGAATTTGAACATATACTTTGGTTAGTATAAAAATGTCTTTCTTAGAGACTGTGATATCGTGGTGACTTTGCTATTTAATGACTTGGTGAATTACTGTTTCCTGGAAAGTTGTACTTCCCATGAAGGTCCAGAATAAGTTACAGTGCTCTTGGTTGGAATAGTCAAGGCTCTGCCAGGGGTATTGGTGGTGGAGATTAAAGCATGGATCAGGTGGGGTCCAGCTGGCCATTGTGGCCTTTACAGTATGTGCTGAAGGCATTCACTTAATAAGGAGTGTTGATTGTGAGTTTTTAAATGTTCTAAAATGCTGATGGTAGCCTTTGACTTAAGAGTAAGTGTAAGCTTAAGCTGCCAGATTCTCCGGGAGTTTAAAGCAATATGGCACCAGAGATTACATATTTTGAAAATGGCTGTGGGTGGCTGGAACAAAACAGATTAACACAGACATGCTTGAAGGTCAGTGGTTTCCTTTGGAGACTCACAAACAGACATCAAAGCAGCTCTGAAATGCTTGACATCATGAGCTTGGGCCTGGGCTTGGGCTTGGCTTGCCAGATTTAGCTTTCAGTTACATGTTTGCATATTTGCTTATTGGACCAGAAAAAAACAAAATGCTAACTGGGATTTCTTCGTTTTGCTATGATCCTTCTGTTTCTTGACTTGCAGAACACTACTGAGCCTGTGGCAACCGCTGAGACCCTGGCCGAGGTACCCGAACATGTGCTCCGAGGACTTCCCGAGGAAGTGAGGCTTTTCCCATCTGCTGTTGACAAGGCCCGGATTGGTGAGTACTAGGGTCCGAGAAGGAGCAGGGGAAGGGACTGCAGGCTGCAGGCAGACTTCCTTTGGGGCATTTAAGGTAGGGAGCTCCCCATAAAAGCAGCAGATTTATACTCTGACTTAGAAGATTATGTGGTGTTTATGCAGTTTCCAGTCACGAATCCAGGGTGGACATAGATCTTGTGTGTTTGATCTTATTTTTATGTTTTAATCTTTGGTCATAAGGCAAAGGAAATAAATGATAAAAATTTAGTCAAAGTACAGTCTTGGAATATATCATGTTTATATCCTGTGGTTTTTTTTTTAAAGATGTGCTTTTGATACTATAATTTATGTATATATATGTGTGAATAAATTTTTAATAAATGCTTTTTCTAATCCTCATTGGAATCTCTTCAGTAACTTGAGCATTTAAATTGTATCATTCACATGAAAGTGTTCGATTTTATAGCTCCACTAATTTATTATTAGCTGTTATCAAGCAGGATTCATAGCAGACTTACAGAAAAGTGGGATTCGTACATCCTAGCTGAGCAGGACTGGCTGAGATGCCACCATCCTGTATGTGAGGAAACTGAGGCCAGAAGATGAGGGAACCTGTTGTCAGCGAGAGCCACTGCTGGGTACCGGATCCCTTGACTCCGGGTGGCCTCCTGCCATTTTAGCCACTGCTGCTTCATCTGCCTGTTTGCCTTATGGCCAGTTCAGAGGAAATAGAAACACCCTTAAGAACACCACAGAACAGCATACTTCTTGGCTGTTTGAAACTCCGCAAAGTGAGTTGTCCCCGTAGCTAAGATTTTAGGAAACAGTGAGGAGAGGGTTTTCATTTTGAACAAACAAACTTTAAAAATATTTATTAAAAAACCTATATTTCTAACCCTTTATAAAAGCAACTCATGTTTATTGGAGATCATTGAAGTCTGTAGAAAAATAGAAGAGTTTAAAAATTATTTATAGTTTGACTATATTCCAGTATTTTTCTCTTTAAGTGTGCTATTCTCCAAGTATTCGTGATTGTACTGTCCAGCTAATTTTACATGTAAAAATTAAAAACGAGCAAATATATAAAACATTCTTTTTTATTATAAAACAAAATAGGTTTTTTAGAGGCTATTTGGAAAATATAGAATATAAAGAAGAAAAATAAAAATCACTGTTGAAGACTTAACTTAATTTGCTTTCACCTGATCTTAGTTGATTTAACATCTTGCTTTTAGGCTGTAGCCTTTTAACTATTTGGTGAAACTGGATTGATTTTAGTGCGTCAATCTATTTTTTTTTTTCTTTCCACACCGAGAAGGGTGGTAAGACAATCTGAGTCACAGCTCCAGGTGATAGCGGCACTGTTAGACCTTGGTTCTTGAGTTTGGCAAAGACAGAATTCAGAGCCAAGAACTTGAGTACAAGACGTTTATTTAGCCTTTTAGAAAAAAAAGTCACAGAGGCAGAAGAAGTGAGCCAGCTGGGCTGCGTGGACTCAGGAAACAAGTTACAGAAGCAAAAGAAGGGCCCTTGGAACTTAAGAGAAAGAAAGTGAAAGATACGGGCCTAAGGAAAAGAAGGGGGTGGGGGAAGGCACAGGTGTGCTCTAGAGAGAAAGAGAGAGCACACTAGTGCTTCAGTCTTTAAAGTAACCACATACATTATAAAAATATTGGTTTTCTTTTCTAGGTGTCTGGGCCACTAAACCAATTTTAAAAGGCAAAAAGTTTGGACCATTTGTTGGTGATAAGAAAAAAAGATCTCAGGTTAAGAATAATGTGTACATGTGGGAGGTAAGGAAGAATTTTGTTTTTTTTGTCTATCAGAGTTCTAGACATTTAAACAAAATCTATTCTCTTAGGATCTGACATTTGGAAATTAAAACCACCATTTTAATGTGTTCTTTAAAAATCAAGAATATTTTTATTAAGTAGAAAATGTGTTTCCATGGATGCAGACTGCTGTTTACATTTGTATTTTGAGACTACTTGGCCATGCTCAACAATACTTGTCAAATCCACTCTTTATATCTCCTGTTCAGGGCTTTTGCTCTTTACAGGCTTCCAGATAGACACCATAAAAGACACCCCAAGGTGGCCGCAAATAAAACACTGTTCAGGTCCTCTGTATTTTAGAAAATCATCTGTGTTGCTGGAATGTTCAGAGTTGAATATATTTAGCACATGGCACATTTATATTGTGCTTTGAACTTTTCAAAAGCCTTTTATTCGGTTTATTTCATGTTCTCCCAACAATCCTGGAAGAGCAGAACATTAGCACCCTCCTCACAGAGGTGAAGCGGTTCAGAGCAGAGGTGAACTCCTCCTTCCTGTGGGGCCCAGATGTTGAGAGTGGTGTCGATGCAGAACTAGAATCCACATCTACGGACAGTGAGGCAATTAAAAAGGTTTCATTGGTTCCTATCCTACCGTTAGCTTTGTGACTCTGGCTAAAACCCTCAATTTTAAAATGAAGAGAATAAAAAATATCTCATTAAGGTAGATGTGAAGACAAAATATGTTGTTAATTGTTTCTTGGAGAGTTGCATGCGAATTCACCAGTTGTGTGGAATTTAGTTCAGATGAGGTACCCTCTGGAAACTCCTCATGTTCTTACAGGAACTGAGTGGTGTGACTCCTTTTGAAAGTAAGTGGAGTTTTTCGGTTGTGAGGAAAAGCATTCCAACCAGATTGTCTTAAATTGAGTCACATCTGTTTCACATGTAAACATGCACAAGCCTAAAAATAAAATATGCATAGGAAGTGTCTGGATACTTTACATCAAGAAGTTCTGTGGCATTTGTACGTTTGAAGTATATTGTGGTTCTTCTCAATGCTATAAGCAGTGTTTCTTAACTTGAGATTCCGATGACTTCTCCCAATAATTTTGAGTTCTTTGTTGTGAATCCCTTATAATAAATCTAATGGCAGTTAACCCAAGGGGTTTTAGGAATGAGGACTTACCCTGAGGATAATTACATTTGCTATTTCACCACTTTTGAGGTAAGAGAGTGCTATATTTGTAGAAAAACTGCCCAGTCAAAATATGCTATTACCCCAAGCAGTCACAGGTATCTTGACTACAAAATTATGCTCCAAAGCACATTTTTAATTTTACAAGTTTCCAAAGGGAAACTAACAAATATGCTCTTCTGGGTTAGTGCTCACCTGAGTGAGGATAATGTCAGGGACCCAGGAAATGTGTGCTTTACTTCTGGGTATAGAATGCTAAGCTTGTACAAATGCCACTGATATTAAACCCAAGTTTATGGTACCTATTTTACCCAACATAGCAGTTTGATATTGTTGGGCATATTGTATAAATTATTAATGGTGCCTTTTCTCCATTAAGCTTTATTTATATTGAAATTTCTGCATAGTATGAATTCATAGTAGCTTGGTGAAAATTGTGATTGGGAACCATGGCATAATAGGGATTCAATTTCTACTATTAATATTCTCTTGTTAGCTTAAGATACTTCTACTTACGTACTACCACAGTTTGTGAACCCTTATGACATTGCCAGTTCTTGTGGGTCAGGTATAAAGATTTAGTTTTTGTCAGGGCTGGCTTTTCCTTCCTCCAGTTAAAAAACAACAACAATCTGGAGTAGGGGTTTCAGGGCTGGGTGGAAAAGGTGAAGGGATTAAACAAACAAAACAAACCTCTAGACACAGACAACAGTATGGTGATTACCAGAGGGAAAAGAAGTTATAGTGAGATAAATGTTGATGGAAGGAGACTTGACTTAGAGTGGTGAACACACAATATAATGTACAGATGATGTATTATAGAATTGTACACCTGAAACCTATATAATTTTATTAATCAATATTACCGCAATGAATTAAATTTAAAAATCTGGATATCATTCACATAGTTCCAACCACAGGGTATACCATACAGAAACCCTTAAGCCTTTTGCTCTATTAAAAGTAGATATATATGACATATATATGAAGAAATAGCATTTGGCAAAGTACAGGGAGCATAAATTATAATGAACTTATCTACATACTAGAAGCCCGGTGCATAAAATTCATGCACAAGTAGGGTCCCTAAACCTGGCCAGCGATCAGGGCCAATTGGAGCCTTCTGGCTGCTGGCTGGGGCCTTCCTTCGTTCCACGCTGCCCCCTGGTGGTCATTGCATATTATAACGAGCGATCAAACTCCTAGTCAAACTCTCAAGGGGACAATTTGCATATTAGCCTTTTATAAAAGGCTAATATGCAAATTGTCCCCTTGAGAGTTTGACTAGGAGTTTGATCGCTCGTTATAATATGCAATGACCACCAGGGGGCAGCGTGGAACGAAGGAATGCTGCGACCTCTCACTGGCTACCTGGGGGCAGGGGTGACGGGGACGGAGGTGCGGTGAGAATGTGGGGTGTCTGCTGAGCTCGCTCTCACTCCCCCTGCTACTATCCCCCAGGATGCCAGGGCTCCCGCACTGGGGAAGCCCCCGTGCTCAGGTGCCAGGCGCTCTCAAGGAGCCTGCCCTGCACCTGCGCAGCCTCTCTGCTGGTACCACAGGGGCCAGTCGGGCTCCCTGCAGGTTCGCACAGGAGCCGGTCTGCGAGGCTGGCCGGGAGAGAGCGTGCTGGCCTCCCGGCTTCCGTGCAGCGCCGCAGGGTGGCCAGAGGCCCACACTTCGCCCTGGCCCGCGGCATCTGACTGCACTCACCTCATCTCCACGTGGGGACTCAGGCACCATGACTCTGGTTGAGGAGGTGCGTGGGGTCCTGGGGGCCCAGGTGCTGCTGCCCAGGGCTCAGAGGTCAGCTGGGACCTGCCCCTCCATGCCAGACACTCGCACTTCGATCACCGGCCAGGCCTAGTGACCACGCCTGTGCACGAATTTCATGCACCAGGCCTCTAGTATAGATATAAAAGGCTAAGTGTCCGACGATCTGGGTAACGACATCACATAGCAATGCCCGGCTTCCTCTCCTAGCGACAACTAGCCTCCTTGCAGTTTCTTCAGCCCAGGAACCTGACTTGCTTTATACCCAGGTGGAAACATTTTACACTTTAAGCAAATGTCTGTGAAGCGTTTTCCCGTGACTCATCTCATTTGATCCTCACAGAAGTCCTGGAGTAAGTAGATAGGA